CACCTCACATAAACAGAACCCATCTTTAATATCGATTGATTGCATCAATACACTTGTTACAGTTGTGGCAACGTTAACTGCAGCTTTGAACTCAAACGATGCAAGCTTAGTTGCAACGTTAACTGGGCAACAGTGCCCAGGAACATGGTGAGAGTTAAGTCATCTTTGTCTTGGTGAGAGTTAAGAGTCATTGTTGTCAAAACAATATGTTTCATATTTCATCATTATGTTTCCTATTCAATTGAATATCTTGATTGAATCCCCCCCCAAAAAAACAGTTACTCAAGACATCTTATTTCTTGTCCTTTCTTACGACATCGGTTGTACGAAAGGAACTATGATGAGTAAAGTCAAGCCCCTGTGACCCCCCTCCCCACTGAAGTAGATGGGGGGGGAGTCCGGAGACTCGAGGCAAGACTATAACGAGTATAGACGGGACGCAACGGCTCTGGTGAGTTAGACAATTTGGAATTTGGACTTACATCAGAGTGTAAAAGGGTAGGAAGTCCAATAATTAAATATGGTCCTACTCTCCATTGATTTATATGGTGACCTTTTTTCCTTATTATCTTATACACAATCAGGGCCAGTAAGGGCCGTTAAGAAAGGGGACCTTAATCCCTGGAGGACCATCATTTCTTTCACACCGGTGCCGATCGTCTCTTTAGTTGCTTTCAGGGTGCAAAATGGCAGTATAAATACAGGTGCCTCTTAAGGACACATAGGTGTATTTTAGTATCAGTTGGAAATAAATAGATCAACAGAATCGTAACTTTCATTAGTTTATTCATTAATTTGATAGAAATGATATGGTTTAGCAGGACAAAAGCGATACATTTTGAAGAAAAAAATGTAGCTATACAGTGGTGTAAGAATTTTCCAGATTAGGGTAAGATACTCTGAGAAAAATCAAAAACATCATATCTGGAGTTTTTGTCATTTTCAGTTTGCCGTTTTATTATACAATACGGGATATGCATCGGTAGGGTCACCTTTTATATCAAATTTGTAAATAAAACCCCATAGGTGCATCTATGCATCGATTAGAATAAAAATGTAGAGTATAAATTAGATTAAACCTGTTCACATGTTTTCTCAGGGTTAGTACAAGAAGCATCTGTGGAGAAAAACGTTCATTACTTATTGCTCACTCCTTGTACATTCATATCCCGTTTACATTAAAAGATGTTGATAAAATCACACGTTTTTAAGATCTTCTCCAAAATGAATATAATGAACCATTAAGTTTCTAATTCTTACCATTATATACGAACGAATGAACAAGGGTTAGTTCCCTCAACTGTTTCCAGCCATGTGGCCCCGTTGCAACTGTTGTCATTGTTGTTGTTCCACGTTGCTATGGTAACGTCATACTCTCCGCGAAGTTGTTGAAGTGCTTCTAGCCCCTTGAAATTATTATTCCCGGGAAGGCATGAATCCCATTTCGAATTACGAGGATATTTTAGAGTTTATCTGCAAAAGTAGATTATTTTAAGATATCTCTACATTTATTCTCGCTTTCGAGTTGTGAACTAGACAATGTTATCTATGTTTATATGAACATACACTAGTAGTCTTTTGTTTATGATAAGATATGAGTTACTTCTGGAACTTAATAACCTAACAATTACACTACATGTGGTTGTCATTCAGAAAGTTTATTGACTTATCAACATCTAATTCAAAAATATCATTAGTGACAATATTGTGTTTTATATGTCTCTGATTTCATGAATCCAGGGTGTACTCAAGCCAGAAATGTGATTTTGTTAACATCATATAAACACTTCGCTACAGTTCATTGTTTTCATGACCAATTTGCATGGTTTTGTCATTATGTAATTTGATTTAATTCAATTAAATGTGTACTTACGTTGTCATCTGGAGCTTTTAAAATATGAAAATATCCCATTCATTTAATAAATCAGTAGCTAATTATTTTAAATTTTGCTTGAATGGATTCTTAATGGGTTCGCCTCTATGTTATATCCGTAGAGAAGGTTGTTTTTGTGGCAACGTCCATAGTGCTACGGGCTTTAGAGAATTGATCATTAAGTTTAAGAACCTGCTTTTATTTAAACCTGTGGTATATCTCAAACGCCAATATTTATCAATACGCTGTATAACAAATAGGAAATCTCAAACCAGTACTTGTTATGTTTATTGTTCGCTTTGTTTGTCTAATTTGATCCAAAAACACCAGTTATTGTTTGAATAAACACCGTTGAAATTCTAATTTCACTTATAATAGTTTTTCTAAACATGCTACCGTAATATTAGTCTAAATCCTTCTTTGGAGTATCGTGAAGAAGTCCATGTCTCTGATTCAGATATTTTGATACAAATATTTTGATTCAAAGCAAAACTCCTTATATTTTTTATGTATGACAACCAAAAGGAAACACATGCCATTGTCGGTCGAAGTTGTTAAAAAGTCTAAGCAATTGTTAAGATTAATCGAAAAAAATACAAATTCGAAATTGAATGTATTCCTTTCAATAGAGGTCGAACTTTCTCGTAAGATAAATAAAAGTTCTCAAACACTCTTCCTGAAGAGTTTGGCATTTTTTGCAGAAATGCAGTTTAAGAGTCTTCAACTTGTCATGATCATAGAATCCTTAAGTTTGCAAAGCGATCTTGAAATGCTTTGAAGTTTGGTAAATTTTAAAATAGAATGCTATTTATCGATATTCTATAAAATATTGGGGCCGAATGTTTGCTGTGCTTTAAGTGCGGGTTCCTACAACTATTCAAAGATTATTTCCAAAGAAATCATAGTTGTATGTACGTGTCACTTTAATGCACTTCCTGTTAAACTTATTAAGAGTCAGTTTGACATTTGCTTTTAAACTAAAAATAGAATATGATCCACGTAGGAAATAAAAAGTCAACACTCACTTTGTCATGGAATACTGTACAGTAGTACATTGGCGAATCCAAGGGCATACCCCCTGCCCATTTGTTGGCCCAGATATTTTATATTGCCAAAACAATTTTAAGGGCCCATTTGGTTTTAGGGGCCCAAACTTTTTTTCGTCTGATTCAAAATTTGCCCCACCCCCTTGTTAGCTTCTGGATTCGCCCCTCTACAGCAAAAAGTACTTAATATTACATGGTGTGTCGTATCTCATTTTAGAGACAATTTAATTCTGGAGTTACCTGAGAAATTTCAGCTTTATATCATATAATTTTACAGACTTGCAGCTGATTCTTAGTAGTTGGTATGACCACCAGTTGCTGCTCAAACAGCAGCTTATCTGGACGGATATGATTTCAATGAAAATTCAGATAAATGTGTAGCATTGCATAATCCTCTAAGCACTTTCCTCAAATTCTTCAGAAATACATCCCCACTGTATCTTTTTTAAAGAGGCTCTTCGTCCATCAGTTCCTATACCCTGTTTTTCAGAACTGAACCCATATGTTCAGTGCAGTTGAAATCTGAGCTAATTCTTTCATATTCCACTTTCTGAAGATTTGACCTTTAACCAGTAACAGAGCAGCAAATAAAGTACCAAAGTAGCAAACTTAAAAACAATGTAGCTTTTTTAATATAAAGTTTTATTAAATGAAATTTGAGGAGTAACTCCAGAATTAAAGTATCTTTCAATTGATGTATGACACAATATGGAACATTCGGGACTTTTTGCTGTAGAGGGGGGTGCCGTTGTTTTTTGACACCCTGTACATTCACCTTCAAGAGTTTGTAAACCTTTAACTCTTATATTGGATCACTTGTAAAACAATCAAGCAATTTTTTTTTAGTTTTTGGGCTCCAAAATTTTGTTGGGTCTTTGGGCATAATTTGGCCTTTTTATAGATGTGAATGGCAATTTACTTAAAGAAGAACACATTTTAGAAAAATTAAAAGACAAGAGAAACTGGATTTCAGAAATATCTTTAGCGAGGAAAATACTGCAACCTTTCGAAAAAATAATGAAACCTAAAATTGCTAAGTTTGTAAAAATTATGAAAGGACAATTTTTTTACAATAATAATGAAAAAGTATTCTTCAAAGATCAAAAATCTAAGTTTTTCTATAATATCCTGGAATATCATAATAAAGAAAGGATGTACACCAAAGATAAATGGAAGATTGATTTTAAATTTCACATAAATTGGAAAATGTATTTTAATAACAAGATTATAGCAATTGTTGATAAAAAGGTAGCTTACTTTAACTTCAAATTATTTCATAATGTTCTTCCATCTTCCATAGATCTTTTTTAGTGGAAAAAAGCAGATTCGAAAATTTGCAATTTTTGTAAAGTTGAAAATAATTTAAAACGCATTATTTTAGAGTGCAATCAAATAAAAGACTTGTGGATCTATATTTCTTCAAAATTAAAAATTAAAATTTCATGGAAAAATATTGTTATTGGCAATAATATTATTTTTAAAAGAAGTCATAAAAATGTCATTGATCTTATAATATCAACATTTGCATATAACAGCTATAAATCATGGCTCATTAGCAAAGAAAAAAATTGTCCAAGATTATGGAGGAACACATTATATTATTCAATCGCACACCTATGTATTTATGAAAAGTCAACCTATGAAATTAAAAATATTAAATCATATATACAAAAATTAAAAGAATAAGGTGTTCATGCCGCCGTCTTAGGCAAACCTTTATTTGTAACCCCACTATCCATTCTTTGGGGAAAACTGTACTTTCTATTATTTTGGAATAAAAAATATAAAATAAAATAATAATAATTTGGCCTTTTTGGGCCATTGTATCAAAAATGGGCCTTAATTTTTCAATTTTTTTCCAAACTCAAAATTTGCCCCCCCCCTCTCCCTTGTTCATATCTGGATCCGCAACTGATATTGGAGAATGTATGACCGTTAAAATTCATCAATGTAAATAGTTGTGATTCTTGTATGTTTATCATATTAGAATCGTTTTAATTTGTGTCAAATATGGGGGTCTAAAACACTGAATCACAGATTTTGGTGATTCAAACTCGATAACAGTAAAAACAATAAGATTGTTGTGTAGAGTTTAAAGCTTCGGTCACATTTGACAACGGCGGGCGTACGGCGGCCGTAGATTCACAATGTTGATATAGAAAATCGACATCGTTCTGCCTATCCCTATATTTTATGCTACAAATATCTCTCAATTTTGGGAAGCCATTGGCCGCCGTACGGTTACGGTAGATCAAATGTGACTGAGGCCAGTATATATTTGGAATGTATCATGTATAAATATATTACAACTTTAAATTAATATATACATACTTTGCCATACATACATTGTATATATTACGTTTTGATATATATTTCAATAAATTTCATTTTTGCAATATTCCTTTATTTGATCAACATCGCTTTCCTCGACCAATCGCTACATTCTACTGTCTGAGGTTCGGTCAACTTCTTGATGAATCGGGATTTAACTTGGTGAATACGTATACATGTCCTCCTAAATGCCTTCGTTCAAAACATTAGTTAGCAAATGTATTAAAAGTAGAGCTCAAAACTGAAACTACAGATTTAATGCAAGTGATAATGTTACAAAATGACACAAACCGCTAATCATCGACATGGATCACAATCTGAAACTGTTACAGTAGCTAAACAATATTTCACCACTGACTTGGCGGTGACATAAAAAGCCCTTAGTCCATTTCACTGGTTTTCTACTCCCTATGTGCGTCAGTGCAACATCCGCAGCAAAAGCAGAACTTGCACAGCATACCACATTTGTTACAAGTTCCAACGTCCGTCTCTCTCGGAGGGACTTGTGCTCTTGCGAAATTAATGAACACTTGATCTAACGTCGTTTGACTAACGCTATAATCTTCAATGTTATAATCCTTTTTCGCTCGCTCCATAATACCAAAAATTCTGGCCCATGTTAGTTCATCACTGCCTAATATCTGATAATGTACGTAGCCCTGGTGCTCATCTTTTAATACGCTTCCCGGGAATCGTCCCTCTATGAAATTCATCAAAGCTTCAGCGGTAGAGTCGCTATGACTCTCAGTGTGACCTACTTTAGCCATAAGGGTATATCCCTCTCCAAATTTATTCTTAAGATGTTGGGGGCTACCGAGACATTTGAAGACTCCGTTCACCATGATAGCGATTCTCGTACATAGTGCCTCACATTCTTCCATGCTGGAAATAAAAGTATCATGCATGTGAGTCCTATATGTTGAATGATTAGTCTTTACAATAGAAGGGGGGTTGACGATAAACTACATATCATGTAATATATAATAGGATTTGATTTGTACTGATTGGGGAGTTTAACTTTTACGTGAAAGTAAAATATCAGAAATCTCAGGGATAACTGTACTACACCTTTCAATTGTTCTTTCAAGGGACCCAATTCCAACTATTTTGATCTTACAGTACCTTAATAATCATAATCAATATTCATGCAAGTAAATATTACGAATTGCTAAACTAATCCTAGAAGTATACAAATCTACACGTTCAAGTTCTCTTTAAAACGTGTAGATTAATCTCCCTATGTTTAAGTGAACCTGCTCGTGAAATTACGAGGACTTATCCATGGGAGACAATACTTCTACATTTTCCCATACAAGTTTTTTTAAAACGTGTAACTTGTTACCTACCACATCAAATACCTATTATGTTTGGTTCGATTTATTCAAATTAATTTAATTTGCATAACTATTAGATACATAAGGGTGGTATTAAAATTGAACTACTAAAACAGAGTAATTTGAGTTAAAGGGAACTTTCTACTATACCTGCCATGCTAACTGACCCGAACGAGCCACCTGTTGGTATAACTGGTAACTACCTACCTGTACTCGCACTTGAGTTATTAGTTAATATCAAAGTAATAAGGATAAACCATACCTATGGGACGTGAGTACAAGTGTTCTTCCACTCTCTCTAACTTTGGACAGTGTGTCCCACAACAGTCGCCTAGCAACAGGGTCCATTCCTGTGGTTGGCTCGTCCAGGAAGACTATAGGTGGGTCTCCTATAAGAGCTATTCCTGTACTTAACTTCCTTTTGTTTCCACCACTGAAGTAAAAATAATTTTCATACAAGGGTTAAAATAGTTATTTTCAATGTTAGCACAATTATAGCATTTGAGGATTTTACGAATTGAAATTTAAGACGCCTATGGCGCTCAAGGAGTGACGTCAGAGAGGAGGAACGATATGAAGTTTGAACGTTGCGTCTGATCTTGTCATTTATTAGGCTGAACATAAAATTTACCTTAAATCTTTGGCAAGTTTATTAGCGTGATCTTGCAACAACAATGTGTCCATGATGTCCTTTGCAATAGTCGGTATTTGATTTTCAACTACTCCGCGAAGTCTAGCATACATGAACAGCGTTTCAGTAACTGTCATCTGATCGATTAATGCGTCGAATTGGGGGCAGTAGCCAAGCCTTTGCTGGACCTGAGAAATACAAGACAGCACATTGACTGTGATTGGTCAGATAATGGCACGTGACTAAATAAGACTTATCTGATTGCAAATATCAGCTATTGGTGCAAAATTCGACATCGAAAATGCCTAGGGTATCAATATCTCTAAACAAACCTATTTCTATTTTATAGATAATTCAAATATGTCAGTTAACAAACAGAGACATTCTTGGACGCCAGGTAAGAAATTCCGGCATAATGCTACATGTATGACCAAGATATTACACGATATTCGAAGAGAAATCATTGAAGAAAATTGTTTACCAATTAATGATAATAAATAATCACGTGTTGCATGATTTCACAAAAGCAACATCAACGACAGTAAAGCCTCACCTCTTTGATATTCGTCCGCACTCCGAAGCCATTCACATATGCGTTACCTCGAGTTATCGTCTCATCGCCCGTCATCATCTTGAACGTTGTTGTTTTTCCAGCGCCATTTACACCCAGCAAACCGAACGTCTCCGCCTGAGGAATTCCGACACATGTATTTTCTACCGCTACAAACGATCCATAGCTTTTCCTTAAATCTTTCAGAATCAATGAATCAGTTTGCATCAGGTCGGAAATAGATGTATTCAAAACCCTTTCCCGCTCTTTTACTACGTCATCATCTTCCTGGATATGTGATTGGCTGGTTTGGCGTTCAACTATAGAGACATGCGATTCTGATTGGTCAGCTGGTTTAGTGCCGTATGACATAGCAGAGTACCAGAAAGATTTTAGAACATCTGATTCGATAAGGAAAATCAATGCACTGAAAACGAGGCCCTGTACGGCCATGAAGATCATATATCGACCAATCCCAGGGACGTTCCACGAGAGGTAGTTATCCTCCCATACTGCACAGTTGTTACCACATTTATCTTAATAAAAAAAAGAATAATACATATGAAGGAGGGAAACGTTCGGTTTTTGGAAAGTAACATACTGTAGATGTGGAAACGCTTACCAATGACCGTCAATAGGATAGAAGAGTAGGTATCATTTAATCAACCAGATATTGTTTTTTTCATGATACAATCGTTAGACTGCCTATATATGACAGCATGGTTAGTTAAAACTGAAATAGGCGAGTCCTCATCTAGGATTATTTTAAGAAAAAAACCTCGAAACTTGCATCACCGCAACATCTACTATACGTAAAAAGCAGCCCACTTTACTTACTTCTACAGCACGGGTTTGTTGCGTTTACAGGCAAAAGTGGACATAGTTCGTCCAAGTTCCAGTCAGGATTCAAGCAAATTGATTTTGCGTCATAATTTGCGTAGAAATCAATAAGTGACTGTCCGAGTGCATAGTTTGGTAGGAGAATAAGAAACACCCATTCCAGAACATTTGCGACGTCAACCGACTCCAAAGCAGGGATCTTTAGAATGATAACGGCGAGGACGGTTGCTGTACCTGAAAAGATGTAATGCAAATAATGTCTGAGATGTTTCTTCACAAGCATTTATTGCGCATATAAAAAATGTTCTGGTCAAGAGTATGTTGCAAAATGTATATCTCTACAGGGGATCAAGCAATCATTTTGCAATAAGAATAAATTCCCAATGACATATCATTTTATGCGTTGGTTTTACAGGCCCACAAGTCTCGAATTTCATTTGTGCTTAGACCCAATACCATGGTAACAAATTTTACAACATGCCGCATCTTACCTACCCTGCGTGCAGAGTCTAGTTAAACTACACTCTGCCTAGTAGAGACTATATTACAGTTTAGTAGCCCCACCCCCACGACGGGTACCGGTGACAGTTTGGGTAATAAATCACTTTTGACCTACGCGCTGACCTTTCTTCCACCAATCAGCGAGCTTGAAGAAACATACTCCAAATGCGTTCTTATTAAATATGTGCGTGTCATTGGTCAATTCCGGGCTCAACGACGACGTCAGAAGGACTGACCATATATAGAACGTCGGTCAAATTTGGCCGACGAACACTGATTGGCGCGGTGAGTTCACAGGTTTATTTTAGTTTGAAAGAGTGAAGACGAAGCTCTCTTTTAAGAAGTGAAGTCAAACGAATGCAAAGGGTACATCTTACCTGACAATATATTCCAAATCACCATGGCGACGAACCCTGACGACGGTACTTCGAACATAAACGACAGCAAGTACATCATAGGTAGAATAGCCCAGCCGTAAAGCAGAAAAATAAGTACAACATATCCAGCATTGGTTTCCGCTATGTACGCCTTGACGTCAAATCCAGCAAAAACGATCAACAGAAGAAGGCAGGGGATAAGATAATTGAAGATATCCCAACAGAACGTACTGAGCCAAAAGTTTATGGTGTGAACTCCGCTTGCGAACTGGATATGCTTGGATTTAACCGATCGTTCTTTGATGATGAAAACAACGAACGTACTGACAAGGAATGAAGTTCCGAACATGACGCAGATGGATATCGTGAATCCTATCAAGGCGCCAGCGAATGAATCATTAATCTGCTCGGTTACGGTTCGTGGTAATGGGTGATTGGTTGTCTGAATATCCATATTAGTAGAGTTTGTGTAGTAGTTTAGCAGCGCATTATCTAAAACTGTGAGGGTGATAGCTGGCGTGTGGTAAGCTTGGTTGTTGAAATGTCCGATCGCCTTCGCTGTACGGTTGATTCTACTAGCATTGGTGGAGTCAAATGTAGCCGCGATCATTTGTCTTCGGTTGTACTCTGTTAAATCACTTGTCCCTTGTTGAATCAGGTACTCCTGCATTGATATGTTTCCAGCTTTATCGATATTTATTGCCTGCTGGGCAATACCCGCTACTCCTTTTCCATAGACGCTTGCCAAACCGGCTGTCAAAGACGTAGGACCCTGTCCTCCAGTGTACGCTACAATCTGTTCAGAAAACTTATTCAGCGAGAGAACCAGCGGGGCCGAGTCTCCGAGCTTCGGAAGGAGTCTAAGGATTGTTAGAGCGATGACTGTGAACAAGACAGGAACCAACATCTGGGTGACCGTGACGAGAAGGTTTCGAGCAGTGTGGAGGACGCGTTTCAGAAACATTGCGTAGAATTGCTGAAAGTAGAGATCTATCCCTGTGTTTCTTTGGACTTGTATGCTGAAAACTGTAAACAAAATTGAATTAGTGTCACTAAGTCACGATCTATAGTTAAAGAGAGAGAGAGAGTGCAATATGGTCTATCAACAGGTACAGGAGCATTAAAATATGGATCAATCCTTACTCCATTGAGTACAATTTCTTGCTGCCTTGTTAGATAAAGTTTGCTTATTGGTTTTGAGAGTTTTATTTTAAATCTGGAAGATCTTTTTAGAGTTACATCTAGTGTATTGCAGTTTTAATAGCTCTCATTCTGCATAATAATTTACCTTTGTTTGATGATCGTTGATTATCCAAAGAACATAGCTGTATCTGACTTTCGTTTTTACTTATACAAGTGTCGTAATCGTGAGTAGCTCCATAATTAACTCTACCCTGGTTAGCTGTTCCATTTGCCGTGTAACCATTTCCAAGTTTGCCATTTAGATCAGTATTATCCGGACTGTGTTTGCCACTTCCGTTTGCGTATATCACATTTATGCCATTGTCAGCGTCATAATCAGGGGGAGGCTCAGCGGCAGATGTAGGTACAGCAGGATCAGATTTCATACGGTCTGAAAATTTTCCCTCATTAGCATTTTCCCCTACCCTAGAAAGAAAACAAAAAGTGTTAATTTAGACTTTTTGATTTGATCAAAAAAGCTAGTACAAGGTACATAACTAACTAAAATTACAGCATAAAATAGCTACCCAGAAGTTGATCGATAGAGTAAAACTAAGATTTAAAGAAAATGCTACAAGCGGTTTTCCTGATATGACTATGACGAATATCTACATGACTTACTTGAGGAAGACCTCTTCCATAGTTGTAACAGACGCTCCAAAACTAGATATCCCCAGCTTTGACCTGTTGTCCTCTAGCTCTGTGAAGAGTGCTTCGAATTGCGGAGAGCTCTCGTGGGGTAGGATATAGGCCAATTCGGCGCTGATGTTACTCTCCATCTCGGCCTCGGGTACATGGCGTTTGACAACTTCCGTCACCATGTTGACGTCACATGACTGGTCTTTGACAATTACCATGTGGTATCCCACACCTACAAAGACCATTAGGATGTACGTTCATTCATTCCGAAAATAACTTTACTCTTCACAACCAACAATTGCAACTCTGACACTATCAAGATAAACCATGACATCTCATGAAACAAAAATATGCGATTATTATCAGAATGCTCTGACACACCACCCTTACCATATTTGTTCTTCAGATAGAGGGAACTACCAGCGCACTGGACGACCCCCTCTGCCATAATTGCAATCCTGTCTCCTAATAGATCGGCTTCGTCCATGAAGTGTGTAGTCAGTACCATAGTTCTTCCTGGAGAGGCAAAAACAAAAGTTAACATTTTATGGATACACCCGTCCTTTATAAGTTTACAACTGGATTTAACAATAAGACAGCTTCTATATAGCTCAATAAACAAAAGAAAACTGGTGCTGCCATATTTTATTCAGCTCTCGTTTGGGCCAGACTGCCATAGACTTATGTGCTAAGATCTTGGAATATTGGCTTAATTTCACTATTTATCAATAAGCGTTGGTTGAATCTATCGAAATCTGGAATTTGATAGTGTAATAGAGACTTATTAGTGCTGTTCTTCAAGTACAATAAGTCGGGAGACTTTGCTAAAGTCGTCAAAAATAATCATACTTTTACAGTCCAAGACGGGATTTCCATTTCATTTACCATTGGATTGGAGTATATAGAAGCAAACGTGGGAATACTAAAAAATGCATTGTCCATGACAACGTTTTCATCAATTTTACTATTTGACCATGATGCGTGTATGGTTTAATGTATATGATAAAATAATATGGTATGATATGATCCGTTATAGTATGATATGATATGATGCTATGTAGATTCTCAAACGTCAAGTGAATGTCAAATCAAATGGAAAACAGTCATAACTTTTTGACTGGATTGCACGTTTTCGTATTTTGATTGCTTAATTTCGGAAAGATGGCGTCTCTGATTAGGCCATCCTATTCTGCGAGTGTTAAATATACTTTATGGCAAACTAATAATCATTTATATTATTGTAGCTGCTAAATCTAGAAATTACAATCTACGCTTATCGTGTCGAAGAATGGAATCATTTTGATTGAAAACAAGATGGGAAATTGTAAAGTAGATTAATTCATCCAAAGCATGCAGTAACACAACGGCATTGTGTTACTGTCATCCATGGATCTATAGAAGGTCAGCTTAATGATGATGAGCGTGGATGAGTGCAGCATTTTTTGCATTAAATCCAATAAATAGGACTATGAGTAGAGAGCTTGTACATAAGCATCCTTATATAAAGAAAATGAAATGGAAAGATTATTTGTATTATAAAACAAGGCATTAACATGACAAAATGTCACCACCTAGTTGCTCACAATATTAAGTCAGATTTGAATTTCTGAGAACTTGTAAAGTCAAATTTGAACTTCTGAAAAGATGTAGATAATTTTGAAAAAAAAATTTGGTCAATTTGAAGCAAGTTGAAAACAGACCTTTTTGACCTTTTTTGACCTTGAGAAGGTCATTAAAGGTCAAATGTCAAATCTAAAGTCAGATTTGAATTTCTGAGAACATGTAGATGATTTTGAAAAAAAAAATTAGTCAATTTGAAGCAAGTTGAAAAAAGACCTTTTTGACCTTTTTAGACCTTGAGAAGGTCATTGAAGGTCAAATGTCAAATCTAAAGTCAAATCTAAAGTCATATTTGAATTTCTGAGAACATGTAGATGATTTTGAAAAAAATTTAGTCAATTTGAAGCAAGATGAAAAAATACCCTTTTGACCTTTTTTGACATTGAGAAGGTCATTGAAGGTCAAATGTCAAATCTAAAGTCAGATTTGAATTTCTGAGAACATGTAGATGATTTTGAAAAAAATATTTAGTCAATTTGAAGCAAGTTTAAAAAAGACCTTTATGACCTTTTTTGACTTTGAGAAGGTCATTGAAGGTCAAATGTCAAATCTTAAGTCAAATCTAAAGTCAGATTTGAATTTCTGAGAACACATAGATGATTTTGAAATTTTTTTTAGTCAATTTGAAGCAAGTTGAAAACAGACCTTTTTGACCTTTTTTGACCTTGAGAAGGTCATTAAAGGTCAAATGTCAAATCTAAAGTCAGATTTGAATTTCTGAGAACATGTTGATGATTTTGAGAAAAAAAAATTAGTCAATTTGAAGCAAGTTGAAAAAAGACCTTTTTGACCTTTTTCGACCTTGAGAAGGTCATTGAAGGTCAAATGTCAAATCTAAAGTCATATTTGAATTTCTGAGAACATGAAGATGATTTTGAAAAAAAATTTAGTAAATTTGAAGCAAGATGAAAAAATACCTTTTTGACCTTTTTTGACATTGAGAAGGTCATTGAAGGTCAAATGTCAAATCTAAAGTCAGATTTGAATTTCTGAGAACATGTAGATGATTTTGAAAAAAAAATTTAGTCAATTTGAAGCAAGTTGAAAAAAGACCTTTTTGACCTTTTTTGACTTTGAGAAGGTCATTGAAGGTCAAATGTCAAATCTTAAGTCAAATCTAAAGTCAGATTTGAATTTCTGAGAACACGTAGATGATTTTGAAATTTTTTTTAGTCAATTTGAAGCAAGTTGAAAACAGACCTTTTTGACCTTTTTTGACCTTGAGAAGGTCATTGAAGGTCAAATGTCAAATCTTAAGTCAGATTTGAATTTCTGAGAACACGTAGATGATTTTGAAAAAAAAATTTAGTCAATTTGAAGCAAGTTGAAAACAGACCTTTTTGACCTTTTTTGACCTTGAGAAGGTCACTGAAGGTCAAATGTCAAATCTAAAGTCAAATTTGAATTTCTGAGAACATGTAGATGATTTTGAAAAAAAAATTTAGTCAAATTGAAGCAAGTTGAAAAAAGACCTTTTTGACCTTTTTTGACTTTGAGAAGGTCATTGAAGGTCAAATGTTAAATCTTAAGTCAAATCTAAAGTCAGATTTGAATTTCTGAGAACACATAGATGATTTTGAAAATTTTTTTTTTAATCAATTTGAAGCAAGTTGAAAACAGACCTTTTTGACCTTTTTTGACCTTGACAAGGTCATTGAAGGTCAAATGTCAAATCTTAAGTCAGATTTGAATTTCTGAGAACACGTAGATGATTTTGAAAAAAAAATTTAGTCAATTTGAAGCAAGTTGAAAACAGACCTTTTTGACCTTTTTTGACCTTGACAAGGTCATTGAAGGTCAAATGTCAAATCTTAAGTCAAATCTTAAGTCAGATTTGAATTTCTGAGAACACGTAGATGATTTTGAAAAAAAAATTTAGTCAATTCGAAGCAAGTTGAAAACAGACCTTTTTTACCTTTTTTGACCTTGAGAAGGTCATTGAAGGTCAAATGTCAAATCTAAAGTCAGATTTGAAGGTCAAATGTCAAATCTACAGTCAGATTTGAATTTCTGAGAACATGTAGATGATTTTGAAAAAAAATTTAGTCAATGTGAAGCAAGTTGAAAAAAGACCTTTTTGACCTTGAGAAGGTCGTTGAAGGTCAAATCTAAAGTCAGATTTGAACTTCTGAGAACATGTAGATGATTTAGAAAAAAATTGAAGTCAGTCTAAACAGTATTTGTTAAGTTATAGGAAGTTGTAAGAAATTGTTACAGACGCCGGACGCCAACCACCAACCGCCGGACGCCGTCGAAAAAAAACGGAGACCATAACAATATGTCACCACTTTTGGTGGTGACATAATAGCTTAGAATGGCTTAGAGTCGCGAGTGTTGCTAAACATAATTTTACTGTTTCAACGCATCTAATTTATGTACCCGCTAAATGATTCATCAACGTATTTCATATCACAAGTTTTTTTTAAATCTGCAACCATTTTAGCTTTCTATTTGAACTCTATAGAAAAATTGTTTCATTTGGTTAACACAAGCCTATGTCGTGCTGGTAATTTTTGTAAAGTACTGTAGGTGATACTTTAATAATAAAAAAAACTAACGCTAACCAATCTCTTATTTATCACGGTAGCTTTGTAAGAATACAAACGAAATCAAAGGAAAGAAAATTGGAAAGTCCGCAAAATGATGATAAATATTTTTTTGATGAAGTAGGCTGAACTCATTTTATACTTAAATTGATATACGCTGATAAGTAAATTGATGTACGCTAATCCAATTGCTTGTTTTAGGGATATCTAATCAAATTATGACTTTAATTATCACGATTAGAATCTCATTTACGACAGAGCAATAGCCTGACGTAAATGTCGTAATGTCAACTCTGAAACGACCCTTTTATATTCTGTAAAGACGAACATAAAAACAGCGCACTTAAATTGCAATAGCGAAAAACACAAATAACCAATTAGCTAGAGAAATTAGACTGCTCTCTTTACTAATATGGGGCAAAGTATGAAATAAACAGCATAACAATCAGCTTGATTGCTTTCGACTAATAACCTATTTTTCTGACCTCATACGATGACACGACGATAACTGCAATCCCATTAAACAAATGATGATCTACGCAGGGAATTCTATATATAATGGAATGGAATTTAATGGAATGATATTTATCATGATAAATGAGACTCTCGTCATTTTCAGGAAAATTAAACGTCAATGAAAAAGCGACTGTCGCAGTGGTAAAACGAACGTGTGGTCAAACAATATGAAATAGCAATGGCAATAGTGTGCATTTATCAAAACATGTTATAAGGACTTTAAAGCTAGTTGTACTGGTGAAACACTCTGAGAAAAAGCATTGCATACCTTCTCTGTTCTTTTGTAAAATGTCCCAGGTTGCGCGTCTTGCGTCCGGGTCCATACCGGAAGTTGGCTCGTCTAGGATCACGACCTAAGAGTGAATAATGTAAATATTTCTGTCAAGACTCCAAAGACCAAACAAATGTACAACACAAAGATAATATGCGCCAAAGTTCTATCTCACTTCCCAAAATAATTTGATTCGTAAGCTTAATATTCCACATATGTACGTAAATTATTATTTACAATTATACCCTGCTTTCAGCTCCCAAAAACGTATGATTACAATTTAATGACAAATACAATTATTACCAATAACATGTAATTCGGACTTACTTTTGAGTCTCCTATGAGCGCTATTCCAACAGAAAGTTTTCTCTTCATGCCGCCAGAGAGCGTCCTCGTCTGCGCGTGACGTTTGGGTTCGAGGCCAACACATTTAAGGATGTAGTCTATTTCACCTTGGACCTTTTCAGAGGGGTAACCTTTCAGCTGAAAAGGGGGCACGAAAATGACTAACCTTTACTCAATTTATATACAATAATTTTGATGGAGGACATATTTTTTTAAATGCCTCACTTTTTGAAAAATGAAAATAAATAAATTATTTGCCGATATGGAAGCTCCAATGATCCCAGCAGGGGTGTTCTTTGACTTATATTCTAAATCTATCACTTTTTCTTTGTTTTAAAAACAAAAAAAATTATTTTGATATAAAAATAGAAGAATTTTCGTCCTTTAAGGAAGCCCCTCTGGCCTAATGGATAAGGCATCGGTCTCCTAAACCGAGGACTTTTGCTTGAGTCTTAGCAGTTTCTTTGTTTTCAAAACCACACAATTCTTAGAAAAAATTGAATAATTATCATCCTTTATGGAAGCCCCTGTGGCCTAATGGATAAGGCATCGGTCTCCTAAACCGGGGATTCTGGGTTCGAGTCCCAGCAGGGGTGATCATTGTCTTATATTTTAAAATCTGTCACTGTTTCTTTGTTATGAAAACCACAAAATTATTTTGATAAAAAATTGATTAATTTTCGTCTTTTATGGAAGCCCTTGTGGCCTAATGGATGGGGAATCGGTCTACTGAACCGGGGATTTTTGGTTGAGTCTTAGCAGGGGTGTACTTTGACGTTTGTTTCCAAATCTTTCACTGTTTCTTTGTTTTCAAAACCACAAAACTCTTTCAAAAAAATTGAATAATTATCATCCTTTATGGAAGCCCCTGTGGCCTAATGGATAAGGCATCGGTCTCCTAAACCGGGGATTCTGGGTTCGAGTCCCAGCAGGGGTGATCATTGACTTGTATTTTAAAATCTGTCACTGTTTCTTTGTTATAAAAACCACAAAATTCTTTTGATAAAATAATTGAATATTTTCCGTCTTTTATGGAAGCCCTTGTGGCACAATGGATGGGAAATCGGTCTCCTGAACCGGGGAGTTTTGGTTGAGTCTTACCAGGGGTGTACTTTGACGTTTGTTTCCAAATCTTTCACTGTTTCTTTGTTTTCAAAAACACAAAATTGAATAATTTTGTCCTTTATGGAAGCCCCTGTGGCCTAATGGATAAGGCATCGGTCTCCTAAACCGGGGATTCTGGGTTCGAGTCCCAGCAGGGGTGATCATTGACTTATATTTTAAAATCTCTCACTGTTTATTTGTTATAAAAACCACAAAATTATTTTGATGAAAAATTGAATATTTTTCGTCTTTTATGGAAGCCCTTGTGGCCTAATGGATGGGGAATCGATCTCCTGAACCGGGGATTTTTGGTTGAGTCTTAGCAGAGGTTTACTTTGACGTTTGTTTTAAAATCTTTCACCGTTAATGGATAAGGAATCAGTCTCCTGAACCAGGGATTTGGGGTTTTAGATGAATCCATAAAACGGTTTGGCTGGAAACATGTAAACAAACCTCGACAGACAAGATTTAGGATAGAATCCAAAATGGCCACCTTAAAATTTTACCCAGAATGCCCAAAAGCTAATCAGTTCTCAACGTTCATACGTAGAAATATCCTTGAAAATATCAGTTGAATCCCTAAAACGGTTTGGCTGGAAACCTGTAGACAAGCCTCGACAGACAAGGTTTAGGTTGGAAAATTCAAAATGGCTGCCTTAACATTTACCCAGAATGCCCAAAAAATCGGTTCTAAATTTTTCCAGGTAGTAACACCCCAGATGCCTGAAACTATTTGGCTGGAAACCTGTAGACAAAATTTACCTGGACGCCCACCCAACCTCCTGCGCGCCCATCCGCCTGTACGCCCGTCCGGCAATCTGATCACAAGATAGCACCCAAGAGTGCGACTGAAATTCTTACAAGATGAAAATAAAATAATTTTGTCTGCTATTAAAGCCCCTTTGGCATAGAACCGGGAAATTCATCGTTGCGGTTGACCTTCACTCAAACAGTTTTGAAGATGATTCCCGATCTGATATGCACTTCAACGCTAGCGAAGCCAATAAATGAGGTATTACTTATATCGTTTTCCAATTTGTAAGTATGCTTCTAGATCATAATTATGGACTGAACTTGAACGTAGTGTATTAGATGATATGAACTTATTACTGTCACAATTACAAGACACAACGTGATAAACGCTCGGTTGTAGCTGTACATGAACATCTTCGTGAGCTCGGTCTTTAGTGTGTTCAGACGACGAGAGCTGGGTGAACGAAGATAGAAACATAAACTCACCTCCAAAAGTGTAGCAATAAAATATTCCTTTATTATTGACCTTATATGCGGCCTGATTATTTTTGACGATTTAGCAGAATAATTTAGTAATCCATTTTGAATTTATATATTGTAATTGAGAAACAAAAAAATTCAAAACACACAATACAGGAAGGACTTTCTCTTTCTTTACTTATGAAAGGTGCTATAATCCCTCGAAAACCAGAACAAGTTTAGTTTTTGCCATTTTACTACACTGGGAGGTTCAGTTTGGTTAAATTAGTAATACTGTAGATCTGTCACGCATATTTTAAAACCTAATGTGGGCACAATGGGCAGATTGGATAGATATTGCCAAAGTTAGAGCAGTTTTGTTGAACAATTCTGATCTGTGATTTCTGTCGCTCTGGGCAGTCAAGTGGTTAAGGGTCGTCTTATACTACTAACCTTAGCAAAGAACGTTAAATGCTCCTCGACCGTGAGGAGATCGAATAGAACATCGTGTTGCGGGCACAGACCGAGGCTGCTTCTGACACGACTGATGTCTTTGCGAATGTCGAACCCGTTAACGAAAGCAGTTCCTGACGTTGGAGGAATAAAACCTGAAAATATATACCCAGAATTTTTAATAAATTTAACCATCACATATATCATGAGAGGTCTTTTGATGCTTTTAGATTTATTTTTTATTTATTGTAACTCTCTAGTGATTAGAGGTAAATAAATACACAATACAATATAATATATAGAGCACATGGTTTCCTGGCTAAAGGGTGTTGTTGAACTTATGAACATAATGACGTCATATATTATGAGACCATTGCACTTGGGGATTTCTTAAATTTATGTAGTTTCTATTTGTGACCCCAAGTTGATCATTTTGCCCATATTCCTAATTCGATATAGAAACCACTCGGGTTCACTATAGAATATGCTAAATCAAAAATATTGGATAAAAACGCAAATATATCCATAACCTCTACTTTATAAGCGTTTTGCCTCTGTGTGCCGAATTAATACACTTAGCAAATTGCTACAAATTCCATATTTCTACTAAAGGGGAACACTTTGGTACTTTAATAGAGAGGCGTAAAACATACGAATATCACATGTATAAATTGAGAATCCACATCAATCAAATTGATATATATGAGCTCATGTTCATTTGGGAATGGATTGATTCACAGAACGAGGACAAACTGTTTGTATAGACGGGAGTAATGTAACGACCCCATAAATGACATTGGTTTTTCATCAGCAGTAAATCTAGATAAAGTCAACAGCGTCTTAGATTATATATCTATAAGTAGAATTTATTGTTAGTATTTCTCTTCTAATGATCCAATTTCTTTGAATTATAAGTAGGAAATTACATTACGAAAAGTAATGTTCTTATTTGTAGTTCCCAAATGCCACTTAATGTTATTACATAATGTCATAGGTATGATTGTGCGATAAAACAGAGGTAAGTGTCGACCTTATACATATTGGTAATTACATTCTGGTTTTAGCAGTAAAACATCAGTTCGATAGAAAGACTAATACACCGCTTGTATCTGGAAAAGCATAGTGCAGTTTCTGAACAATAACAACTCGAAAAGGTCCAGTTGTATGAAAGTGTGCAAAACTGATTGTTTTAAAATCTTCGGTTAGTGTTTTAAATTAAAGGTCTAAAATATCTAGGAATCTTTAATTAGTTTCCAAAATACGCCATTTACCGTATATATTTCCAAAGATTTCATTTGATACTGAGGGCAATTAGTATCTGGGAAAGGCAAAATCAGAAAATCTTCATTGAAAGAGACCACATTGTCAATCTTTATGTGAAAACTATAACCATATATATTTATGGGCAACTGGCTACGTATCTGACATAATACACAGCATTCGTATTCATATAAATTGGTATTTGATCAAATAGAGAATAGTCTTTCTGAAGGGAGTATGGTCATCAGATCAACTGACAATATCACCATCACATAATATAATTTGTTCTGATCCAGACATTGGAAATAAATACGTATTAATCTCTACTTTACTGTTAAAGGGGTACTGGTGGTTAGAGGGAAAAATTGACAAATTTTTGTATGGATTGATACTTGAATATTTGTTTTTTTTATTTTTATTTTATTAATATACCAGCAGCCGGTTTAAGATCCCTTTGTTATAACGTTGAATTTATGACAATATTAAGAACGGTAATAAATTAGTTAACTGTTGGATTTTTTTTGGGGGGGGGTGAGAATCCACATGGTTGCCCTCAACGTTTTCAATAAACGATATCTGAAATAGGTACTTTGAACATAAGTGGAATAATCTCGTATTTTATACTTAATAATGCATTATTAATTACGATGAAAATGTCAAAATGAAAAACTATCAAATCTAACTGATTACCTCTCTATAATCTATCAGACAAATCGTGACTAAGCAAAATGTCAAATACAGACTATGACATTAATACAAAACAAGAGTCACGGTGGCAAGGAACTGCGCTATATAAAAATCAATGGACGCCCTGTAATGTTCAATTATCCAGTATGCCCTAAGCCTAACAAGGGGTTAACCCTAGTCTGCTCTTGCATCGGTGAGAAATCCGAAACATGGATCAACTCTTCTATGACCCCATGGATGGTTTCCGAACTACTGTAAAGGGTTATCTCGCTTCAAACAATAATCCAAACGTCTTCGGAATGAACAACGTTTTTCACTTCCCATTTTTGTCAGAATCGATTGTTTGATGTTTTTAAATGTTCAGTTACAAACGGATTTTACTTCGAAATAAAGATAAGAGATTCTACGATTTACGATCAAATTTGATGACTGATCGAAGATTTTTTTACAATGTTAAAATACTTACATTGCGCAGCGATTGGGGATTTTGGCAATGGTCAGAATAAATTCTAATGACATATACAGGGTGTCCCGAAAGTATGGGCCCCCCCTAGGCAGACATATACCAGTGTCGTCATAGTATGTGTCATATATCATGTTTAAGCTTATCCAAAGTTACATTGATTCACCAAGTATCATGGTTCAACTCTCAAATGTGAACAAATTACAGGCATTTTAAAATTTAGTGTTTGGTCAAAATTAAGTTCAATTTTACACCAAATCACAAGTCAATGTGTCCTTCCGGGCCATCTTAACAGCAGTAATTCTTTTCGGGTCGGATGGATATTGAGTTGGAAAAAGAGAACGGTGAGGGTAGAAACTCTAAGGAAACTCTTCTAAAGTGCCTTAACAGGTTTAAGAGGGTTATAAAATTCCACACCCCTATTTGAAGGGCTTTTAAGGTCATATCTGAAAATAATTGCTACTGTTAACATGACCAAAGGGGGACTCATTGACTAGAAGTGTGGTGTAAAATTGAACTTTAATTTGACAAAACACTAACTTTTAGAATGACTGTAACTTTTTCCCATTTGGGAGTTAAACCACGATACTTGGCAAATCAATGTAACTTTGGATAAGCTTTAAAATGATATATGACACATACTATGAGGACATTGGAATGTGTCTGGCTAGGAGGGGCCCCATACTTTCGGGACACCCTGTATACTGCAAATCAAAGAATAGATAGAGGTATTTGATACAATCAGTTCTGTTTATAATAAGCATGCTATAACTGTAACAGACATTATGACTGGTCCATTATTGAAAGTAACTTGTCATACATACTGTAAAACACTAAATATCTGCTACACACATTTTTCGCGAGAGCACCTCCCCGGGTCAATTTGCTACACATTATATTCGCGATATGCCAATGGTAATAAACTTTGTTTTGCCAGAAATGCTGTAACCCATGATGAAGTAAATCAATGTTATTGTTATTATGACAAACAAATATAATCGAAATGTGGTTTACCTAAGTCTGATCGGAGTGGTACAAAATATGATCCATTGCATTACACTTAAATATATATTAAATAAATCGGACCAAACTATGAGAAAGAGTTCATAATTAATCATAAAATATATCCCTTGATAGACAGAGACCTACAGCATGTAACTAGGGACTTTAAAGTGTAATTGATGACACGATCACCGATCGATTAAATACCCTTGCAAAACTGTGAAGACCTTCTATACTTCATTCCTCAAACAAGAGACAATTTTTCTAAGAGCACTAAAAGTCTTGACCCAATGCCTGTTTACTTTACACCTTGTTGATTCATTCTTTTGCAATCATTTATACCATGAAGCAATCATTTATACCATGAAACAACCACAATGATAAAGTCTAACGGTGTATTATTCGAGAAAATATTGACCCGTATATAATCCAACCTCGGAAGGCAAGCTCAATAAATTCCCCATAACCATGATGTTGTATCGATCCCCCTAAAGGTAAACGGTAAATCAATGTCTGCATGTAAATATATTCCAACAAAGGACCTGCTTGAAATATATACTTTGATAAACAGAAGTCTGAAGTTCCAGAACACGATCACATCCCTCGCTAGGTAAATGTAACGCTTGGAACACAGTTTAATGACGTCGTTGTAGAACGCACTTAGCATTCAGAAGAGACGGAGGAACAAAATGTATACGGCCTTTCAATAACAACGGAAGAATCAATGGCATGGGTTGACAACAACGATGGCGTCTTTATAAAGACCAAATAGTCAATGGATGGTGCCACGTATAATCCAGAGCCATGAATCGGACAAAGTCTACGTTTGATGAATTCAACAAAGAGAACGATGAAAACTTACATCGAAGCCGCATATTTGTATTGTCATTCCCTGATGTGTAACTGAAACAAACATGTATCTGTATAACTGATAATGATCTCAACGTACAAAGGAACTTATGGTAATTATGATAAACGTGACATAAACGTACAAATATAGATGAGGAAACACTAGCTAGCACAACGATGAAAAAGCCTAGTTAAGTTCTGATTCAAAATATTAATGAGGAGAAAGTACGACATGGCCGGTCGTTCCTGTAAACATTTCAACATAGAAAACCCTGCCCGGAGATACAGAGTCGATGACTCGGACAAGAATCCACTAAATGAACATGATAACAACGCCGATGCTGGTCATGGAGAGGAAACTGCTCAAGTTTATTTTCGTAATCCAATTTTTGGAGATCACGTTGATAATCCAGATGAAACAACCTCGTCTATTCCATATTCACATTTTGGTCAAAGAAGTCCAAGATTGCCGCCAATAGATGTCGCCTCAAACAAAGATAAACCTGACACATCTGTGAAATATGGAGGTATTCATATTGGAACACAAAATCTAAAAAGTATACCTTTACATCTCCCGTCCCCAACTCCGCCGGTTTACAAAGATGCGGAATCCACAACAACTCAATTAAATGTCGAGGACAATCCGAATGATTTCGTCCAGGGGCCCTTAGAAAACAACCATTTTATGCTATATACGCATGCGCAGCAAAGGAATCCACTTTCCATTCTGCCACCTATTGGCGGGGCAAGACCAAAGACAAATTTACATGTTCAGATTGTGAGCGAAGATGATCATACTGAACATGAAAAACCAGGTCATGACACAACACAAGACAATCCTGCTGAATATAATAACAATTACCTATCCGTGATAGAAGACGAGGCTGGTGCAAAAACAGACAGATCAAGTTCTAGTTATCTTGAGAAGGACACGGAAATCAGCTCAGATGGTAGAGAACTTGTTTATTTCGCGGATAAATATGACAGAAGGTTCATCCGCTTAAGTCAACTCTTAGGACGGGGCTGTTTCAGTTTGTTTATAGTCCACGTGGTCGTAATATTCACAAAGCCTGCATTATGGCAAGTTTTACACGGTATTTGGGGCGGAGTAATTCATTTTTTGACTGGATTTCTTGCAAAGAAAGCGTTTCAACGCCATAAAAACCAGGTGCGAACACGAAAAATGATGTACCATGCAACGTTTGTTATGGAGTGCATCTCAATCGCGGTCTGTTTCGCCGTGATGGGGATATCCGCATATGGAATGTACTTGGATCGAGTCCTGCATGTGTATAATAAACCATGTAACGACCCTTATATTCTCCGCTATGAATTCACATGTGAGGCGTTCCGAGATATTGAGACAAATCATACAACATACCACGCCTATCTAGGAGGTTACAACTATAAACAAGGTCTTAACATGGGTCTTTTGATTATTAGCGTCTTGCAGGTTTCCCTCGCTGGTTTTGCAACGGCAGCTGGATATAAACATTTATTTGGCAAGAATAGATTGATTGATACTCCGGGAGCCACTCCAAGGTAGCACACTGAAAACAGCTGGAAGATCCCGAATGTACATAGAACAAATCCCTATGGAAGCACCCTAATAGTCACATACAGAAAATTTTCAAAGATTTTCAAGGAAAGTAAACTAAAACTAAAAACCTCTTGAATCATTCAATATTAGAGACACGGAATATTTCTGGAAGAATCTCACAAAGGCACATTATAAAAACCTTTGAAATCATCTTTAGGTAGAGACACAGAATATTTCTGGAAGAATCTTAAGAAAGGACATTAGAAAAAATTCTTTGGAATCATTATGAGGTCGTCACACAGAATATTTCTGGAAAAATTTCAAGAAAGGCAAATTATAAACAATTTTTGGGAATTACTTTGAGGTTGACACACAAAATATTTCTGGAAGAATCTTAAGAGAGGCAAATTATCATTTGCACATTATAGATTTGCAATCATCACGAGATAGGCTAGACACGCGGAATATTTCTGAAAGAATCTCAAGAAAGGCACATAAAAAAAACTTTGGAATTCTCTTGAGGTAGAAACACAGAAAATATTTCTGGAAGAATCTTGAAAGAGGCACATAATAAAAACCTTTGGAATCCTCTTGAGGTAGACACACAGAAAGTATTTCTGGAAGAATCTCGAAAAAGGCACATAATAAAAACCTTTGGAATCCTCTTGAGGTAGACACACAGAAAGTATTTCTTGAAGAATCCCAAGAAAGGCACATAATTAAACAAAAACCTTTGTTACCATCAGAAAGTAGACACACAGAATATTTTAAATGAAATCCCAGGGAAACCCTTTCGAATGTTGACACAATGAAAACAGGTTGTAAGCACCGCAAGGTAACATGCCGGTGCCCCAAATGTATCATCAGAGGGTCCAAGGTCTAGAAGTATTCGCAAATGGGCCACATGTTGATAAGACAGCAAGAATCAGCAGAACCTTCAATTCAATCTATTTTATAATTGGTGCATAATGTAGAACATAATATTGGGCCGCAATAAACCCAGAGGGTATATTTTGTATCAGGCTGCTGGAATTTACTAAAATCATATCTAGATGGTATTTTATTAGTTTTTATCATAGTAGTATTTTCAAATTTTGAAGATCTCTTGATCGCGAGTTAGGTCCAGTTAAGGGGTGGAAAGGTTCAACATTTAGGATGACTTTCATATCCAGATAACAGAAACTAATTTACAAGAATAGGTCACACTTTGATTATACTCAGCCACGTGAATCCATGTTCCGTCCATGTGAATTGGTGTCAGTATCTGTCCAAATTTGTAAGTGTCCGTCCATATGAAAAGAGAAGTTATTGCCAGTGGTCGACCAAACGAATGGTGAAGCTGATGTCAGTGGTCGATGCATTAATAAATGTATTATTAAGTTGGTGCCAGTGTGTGTTCATATTAAAAGAGATATTGGTGGCAGTGTCAGTCTATATTAAAAAGAGAAGTTGCCCGTCCATATGAAAAGAGAAGTTAGTGTCAATGTACTTCTATATGAAAAGAGAAGTAGGTGTAAGTGTCAGTACATATGAAAAGAAAAGTTGTCTGTTCATATGAAAAGAGTACGTGTCAGTGTTCGTCCATATGAAAAGAGAAGTAGGTGTAAGTGTCCGTCCATATGAAAAGAGAAGTAGGTGTAAGTGTCCGTCCAAATGAAAAAAGTAGGTCTCAGTGTCAGTCCATATGAAAAGAGAAGTTAGTGTCAGTAGGGGACCATATGCATTGATGAATTGATTTCAGTGGTAGACCATAGATACTGATAACTTGATGAAAGTGGCCTTCTCTATGAACATAGGAATTGGTGATAGTGGCTGACCATATGAACGTCAGTTGAAATCATCATATATATTAAAAAGCTAGTTGATGTCACTTGCCGTCTATATGAATCGAAAAGTAATTGATGTAAATGGCGTTGCTAGGACGGGTTGAAGCAAATTAAACTGACATCGTGTTTTCAATTTAAAGAGACTCAACTGACATCGACTAGCATTGAATATCAGTTCTTTTATTCTTAAAACAATTGTCGTAGTTCGTTCTCTCAAAATGCGACAGGGACTTCTAAACGAGTCGGTCTCAGCCTAGCCAAGAAGACAGATGTTATAATATTTTTACTGAGAAAGGATATTTTTGGATTATTATGACGAAGACAAATACCTGGGGGCAAACATGAGTGGAAATGTTTTAGTGAACGATTGATTATCCTTAATACAGCAGTAATAAAGAAAACAAGGATGCTAATGAGGTAAATGATAAAGAAAACTTTGGAATGAATGCAGGCCTGCAAACTGTATTGTATGGGTATTATTCAACAGTATTACTGTTCACCCATTTTTTATATGTAGTATTCTTTTAAACCCGAGCGTAACATGTTGACATTATCAATAAATTTTTGGCTATCGGACGAGCTATTGATGTAGTTTTGTTGCTGTTTGTAACTGATAATAAAACAATGCATTGCCACGCAAAATGTCACCACCTGTCATTTGTTACAGAAGCCAGTCGCAAACCACCGTCACAAAAATGGTGCTGATGACAAAGAAATAGATAACGATTTTCTTATGTGTGATATTTAAACAGTCCTTCTCTCTTTGTTCATAGATCCCGACACAAAATTATACCGCCCTCTAAAAGTTCCATCCACATAATAAACCTTTATTTCTTTAGAAATATATCAAGGTAATAGCATTCACAATTCACGAGTTCCAATTTTTCAATACATTTACCTTTTCAATTTCAAAACCAACGAATTCACAAGTGCGATTTTTGAAGCTTTGATAACAGGAAAGAAACCTTTTGATGACGGAAGTAACGAATTAGAAGAATGGTGACTTAATTTGATCAAAATCACAGATAGTGCCCCCTTAAACCACATTTGCGTGTAAATTGAAAGGGGTTTGATTTTGTGAGAATACCAATTCCAAAGTTGGTGAGCAGGATCGATGGTTGTATTATAGTATTACATTCATATTATGTTCATTAGAGGTCGCATGGGAACAATAAAACGAAAATTATGATCTCAGACTAATTGAAGTTGTTTGCTTCCTTGATACTTTTTCTACCTCCACTCTTCCTTCGTGCAGATAACTCGATATCGGCTTAAAACTTTTTTCAGGTCCTAATATACCAGTGTACTATGAACTTGGTGCTCGGTTCCGTTTTGGCTGAACAATCTAATAGAAATTGACTTTTCGGAACCGGTCCGCAACTTTTGTGATTTTGAACTCCAAAATTAACATTTACGAAGTTTTGAATGAATTAGAATTCAGTTGCTACAAATAAACATGGCTTACATGACTGTATAAAAAGTGGCTATCTGAGAATATGTTTATCGATTGCCTCTTTAAAAAGGACTCAATTCGAAAACAATGCTGAAAATATATTAAACAACAAGTACGTTTTGGTTGGAGAGGGCCATCAAAAAATTAATGTATTGCGCTCTTGGTCATGGACAACTTTTTAATATTGACATGATCCTTTCGCACTTTGTTTTTATTGAATGCCGATTTGTGATGCAATAACAAGCAAATGGCCTCCAGAAAAATGTCAAGTTGCCGGTATATGATCTAAATCAAGATTGTCATATTCAGGAAGGAATGAAGCCCGCGGACCAACACCTTATTGACAATGGTTGTTGACTTTGATAACGGTATGACACAGCAGTGTTTTATCTTCGGGCTCTTCCTTCTGCGAATGCAGAGAAAATATTTTTGATCGTGGCGTGATTTCCTCGTGATCGGGTGACTTGTGGAATTCATATTGAGAGCCAGAGGCAATAGGCTACATGTGCTACGGTAGGCCAAGCGATACAAAGGTTATTTTGAATTTCATGGTCTATGAAACAGTTCAATGATAAATGGAAGAACATCATAAACTTTTAATCGACCTTTCAAAAATGTAATGTGATCACTAAGCCAATTTCAAGCTGAACCTAAGGGATTTCTTTATTATTTTACAAACCAAATATATATTACTGGCCATGGTGTTGGGATGTCGGGTTTACAGAAGAATTACATCATTTTGCATAGCATAGACAGGCCCGTAGCCAGGATTCGGCAATAGGGGGGACCTTTAAATAATTCCACGGGGGTCCACTTTTGACAACTTTGGCCCAAAAATGGCCAAAATCACTTGAAAAGTGCTCAGAATGGTGAAACTGCCTGATTTAGAAAGATTTTTGACAAAGGAGGTCGGGTTGCACCTGACTACGGATCTGATAGGAAAGAAATTCTTCTGCACAATTTGTGCGAATGGAGCCAATGTCGGCAATTATGGAATCAGTTGTAAATCCACTGAGGATGGATACGATACACTAGAACACTGAGTAAACATTATTGATCATAGCACTTATGAGGCACATGCTGGTAATAAGTCCTATGTATTGTATCACTCTACTATACCTTGCATTTGGTGTTCATGAGCAACCCATTTGGCTTATTAGTAATAATTATGTTATTTTTTTTATTTGTCTGTTCCTTATTAATGGTTTATCGGTTTAAAGTTAGATGTTAATAAGGTACTTTCAAAAATATACTAAACAATGCAATTGGACAAACAGAGTATCTTATGCATTTCTAGGGGTTAGGTATAGTAGAGTGTGTATGTTTATATCGTTTACTGCTTCGTTCATAATCAATGTATTCTCCCTCTAAAAATCTGACTACCCAGGATGGTCTTTGACATTCCCCAAAAATTCATCTGACAACGGTTTTCAGCTTTATGCCGACGAACATATATTTCGAAAAAACATGTAAAATAGACCGCAGTCGGCAGGATTCGAACCTGCGCGGGGAGACCCCAATAGATTTCTAGTCTATCGCCTTAACCACTCGGCCACGACTGCTCATTGAACGACGATTAATCAGATATTTTCTTTATTAGGACCCATCAAATGTACGTATACTAGCACATTGCTTCTTTAGATTTTAATTTGGTACCTACATCTTACAAGTCCACATTCTGGAATAATAATATGTTTGTCTAGATAACAGTTTCAATTCAAAAGATCCTTTCTTAAAAAACATCTGGGACGATAAAAATAATGTGCAAAATGGTAATAAGCTTCGAACTTATAGAATGTTTAAATATGGAGTTGTATCTGAATCTTATGTAGCTGATTATATTCCAAGACATCATAGAAACATGCTTGCTGAACTGAGAACAGGTAGTCTCTCACTTAACAATTGAGACTGGTAGATGGTCAAACATAGCATTGCAAGATCGAACTTGTAAATTATGTGATAGTAACATTATTGAAGATGAATAGCATTTTGCCATTCAATGTAAACATTACTCCAGCATGAGATCTCACTTTCATGAAACTGTAATAGGATGGTTCCCGCTCGCATAGGCTGTCAAAAACAACTTGCACCTCACATAGGGTGCGAGATTTGAAGTCACGTAACATTTACATCCTGGTTTCGACAATA